GTAGCCTCTATAGTTGACCGAGCCCACGGCTGACTGACTGATACTCACACGCTTAGGTTTTTTAAATCCTTTATATTAAGTTCACTTGCTTGCTTGCTTAGGACCGTGCAAATCTTTCGGTCGTTTTTTAACCCACTTCCCGTGATCCAATCGAGCTGACATTTTCCACACAGACTCGTTGTGCGAGACAATTTATTTTCGTGAAATTTTTTTTCCAAAATGTTACACTTTTTAGGACAAAAATATTATATTTAATTACCAATTGCTTAATGGTGGCAAACAATCATCTGACCCATAGGTGGCAGCCATCTCAAGCCAGAGGACCAGAGGACTCTAGCCGCCACGCATATAAAGGATTTAGAGTGAAAAACTTTGTTTTTACGGGTTAGTTTTTTTTCGGTAAAGTCAAGTAGGGAAAAAATAAATAATAAAATAACTAACCGTTTAATATTACTAAAATATTAATAGGTTAATATATATAAAATAAAATAAAACACGACGTTTCGGAAGCAACACAAGTCTCCGTCATCAGGTGGGTCCGTCACAGCTAAAATTGTGTTGCAAAATTCCAACAGACGAGCTCTTAAATACAAGTTCGATGTAAAGCTTCTTTCGTGACTGCAGCAGGGATTCATCTTCTTGGTTCTTTCGGTAAAGTCATCACGTAGAAGGGAAATAATAAAATAATAAAAAGTAAAACATAATAAAAATAAAACATAATAAAATAAAATAATAAAATAAAATTTAATTATATAGTATAATAAAATCAAATAATAATAAAAATGATATATTGTAATATAATAAAATAATGTTATATAAAATAACTAAATAAAATAATATAATAATGTGATAAAATTAAATTATAAAACATTATAATAATATTATATTATTAAATTTCGATGTAAAGCTTCTTTCGTGACTGCAGGGATTCATCTTCTTGGTTCTTTCGGTAAAGTGACGTAGAAGGGAAGTAATAAAATAATAAAACATAAAAATAAATATTTTATTATTATATTATTATTTTATTATGTTTTATTTTTATTATTAAACATAATATTTTATTACTATATTATTATTTTATTATGTTTTATTTTTATTAAACATAATATTTTATTATTACATCATCATTTTATTATGCTTTATTTTTATTATTAAACATAATATTTTATAATTGCATTATTATTTTATTATGTTTTATTTTCATTATTTCATTACTTCCCTACCACGCGATGACTTTACCGAAAGAACCAAGATGAACCAAGAAGACTCTTAAATACAAGTATAAGGGGGAGGGGCTTATCCGAATGTGGTAGCCAATGAATGGGACGTATTGGGTGGTGGGCGGAGCTTAAAAAGAACCAATCAGTGCCCTCCACTTGGGCTTGTACCGGGTGTCTGTGTGGGTCACGTGGTGTAGGGGCGGAGCTACGAGCAACGACGGCGCGGAGGCCACGCCCCCAGAGCGGCCGTTGGATGAGTGACGTCACCGCTGAGCCTCAGCGGAGTGACGTCAGCGCTGAGCCTCAGCGGAGTGACGTCACCCTCAACCGCCACACACAAACTCCGCCCACACCGGAAGCTGACGTCACCGCTGAGCCTCAGTGGGGTGACGTCACCCTCAACCCCCCCCACCCCCTCCCCATCAACGCGTGACGTCATCGCGAGCGGAAGTAGCCCCCACCTCCCTCCCTCCCCAATGACGTCACCGCATCAACGTAAGCGATGACGTCACCACGCAATGACGTCGGCGTGTAATCGAGTTAAGAGATGACGTCACCACCTGAGTGACGCCGCCGCAGTGACGTCACCGATAGTCAAGGGGGTCGTGACGTCACCGGTGTTTACCTGAGCGATGACGTCACCACAGGTTTGCCCCTTCTTCGTACAATGACGTCGGCAGTAATCAAGACAGAGCGACGTCATCAGTGTTCAGAGGGGGGGAGGTGGTGACGTCATCGCTGGGCTGCGTCACTGTACGTGGACGTGACGTCATTGGGAAGGGCGGGAACCAGGCATTGTGACGTCACGATGTGCCACGTGGCCACGTGACGGTAATGATGGTGGCGGTTGTTGTTGATGGTGATGATGGTGATGATGGTGATGGTGGTGATGGTGGTGGTGATGGTGGTGGTGATGGTGGTGGTGGTGATGATGGTGGTGGTGATGGTGGTGATAGTGATGATGGTGGTGGTGATGGTGGTGGTGGTGATGGTGGTGGTGGTGATGATGGTGGTGGTGCCGGTGGTGATGGTGATGATGGTGATGGTGGTGATGGTGGTGGTGATGGTGGTGGTGATGATGGTGGTGGTGATGGTGTTGTTGATGGTGATGATGGTGATGATGGTGATGGTGGTGATGGTGGTGGTGGTGATGGTGGTGGTGATGGTGGTGGTGGTGATGATGGTGGTGGTGCCGGTGGTGATGGTGATGATGGTGGTGGTGATGGTGGTGGTGGTGATGGTGGTGATGGCCAGGCTGAGCTGGATGGGTCACCTCCTCCTGGTGCACCTAGCCTGGCACAGCAGTACAATCCATGGCACCTGCTGGGTCTGTCACGTGACCTCCTCCTGCACCTAGCCTGGCACAGCAGCACAACCCATGGCACCTGCTGGGTCTGTCACGTGACCTCCTCCTCATGCACCTAGCCTGGCACAGCAGTACAACCCATGGCACCTGCTGGGTCTGACCCGTGACCTCCTCCTCATGCACCTAGCCTGGCACAGCAGTACAACCCATGGCACCTGCAGGGTCTGTCCCGTGACCTCCTCTTCATGAACCTAGCCTGGCACAGCAGTACAACCCATGGCACCTGCTGGGTCTGTCCCGTGACCTCCTCCTCATGCACCTAGCCTGGCACAGCAGTACAACCCATGGCACCTGCTGGGTCTGACCCGTGACCTCCTCCTCATGCACCTAGCCTGGCCCAGCAGTACAACCCATGGCACCTGCTGGGTCTGTCCCGTGACCTCCTCCTCATGCACCTAGCCTGGCACAGCAGTACAACCCATGGCACCTGCTGGGTCTGTCCCGTGACCTCCTCCTCATGCACCTAGCCTGGCACAGCAGTACAACCCATGGCACCTGCTGGGTCTGTCCCGTGACCTCCTACTCATGCACCTAGCCTGGCACAGCAGTCAACCCATGGCACCTGCTGGGTCTGACCCGTGACCTCCTCCTCCTGCACCTAGCCTGGCACAGCAGTACAACCCATGGCACCTGCAGGGTCTGTCCCGTGACCACCTCATGCACCTAGCCTGGCACAGCAGTACAACCCATGGCACCTGCTGGGTCTGTCCCGTGACCTCCTCCTCATGCACCTAGCCTGGCACAGCAGCAGGACAACCCATGGCATCTGCAGGATCGGACTACGTACGGTGCGAAGGAAGTTCAACACACGTACACACAGACACACACACGCTGCCTTATATAATGGACTTAGACTTTCAATGTTAAAGGTCGCCCATAGACTTCAATGTTAAAGTCTCCCATAGACTCCAATGTTAAAGTCTCCCATAGACTTCAATGTTAAAGGCCCCCATAGACTTCAATGTTAAAGTCTCCCATAGACTTCAATGTTAAAGTCTCCCATCGACTCCAATGTTAAAGTCTCCCCATAGACTCCAATGTTAAAGTCTCCCATAGACTCCAATGTTAAAGTCTCCCATAGACTTCAATGTTAAAGGCCCCCATCGACTCCAATGTTAAAGTCTCCCATAGACTTCAATGTTAAAGTCTCCCATAGACTCCAATGTTAAAGTCTCCCATAGACTTCAATGTTAAAGGCCCCCATAGACTTCAATGTTAAAGTCTCCCATATACTTCAATGTTAAAGTCTCCCATCGACTCCAATGTTAAAGTCTCCCCATAGACTCCAATGTTAAAGTCTCCCATAGACTCCAATGTTAAAGTCTCCCATAGACTTCAATGTTAAAGGCCCCCATCGACTCCAATGTTAAAGTCTCCCATAGACTCCAATGTTAAAGTCTCCCATAGACTTCAATGTTAAAGTCTCCCATAGACTCCAATGTTAAAGTCTCCCATAGACTCCAATGTTAAAGTCTCCCATAGACTCCAATGTTAAAGTCTCCCATAGACTCCAATGTTAAAGTCTCCCATAGACTTCAATGTTAAAGTCTCCCATAGACTTCAATGTTAAAGTCTCCCATCGACTCCAATGTTAAAGTCTCCCCATAGACTCCAATGTTAAAGTCTCCCATAGACTCCAATGTTAAAGTCTCCCATAGACTTCAATGTTAAAGGCCCCCATCGACTCCAATGTTAAAGTCTCCCATAGACTTCAATGTTAAAGTCTCCCATAGACTACAATGTTAAAGTCTCCCATAGACTCCAATGTTAAAGTCTCCCATAGACTCCAATGTTAAAGTCTCCCATAGACTCCAATGTTAAAGTCTCCCATAGACTTCAATGTTAAAGTCTCCCATAGACTTCAATGTTAAAGTCTCCCATCGACTCCAATGTTAAAGTCTCCCCATAGACTCCAATGTTAAAGTCTCCCATAGACTCCAATGTTAAAGTCTCCCATAGACCTCAATGTTAAAGTCTCTACCCATAGATTTCAATGTTAAAGTCTCCCATAGACCTCAATGTTAAAGTCTCCCATAGACTTCAATGTTAAAGTCTCCCATAGACTTCAATGTTAAAGTCTCTACCCATAGATTTCAATGTTAAAGTCTCCCATATACTTCAATGTTAAAGTCTCCCATAGACTTCAATGTTAAAGTCTCTACCCATAGATTTCAATGTTAAAGTCTCCCATAGACCTCAATGTTAAAGTCTCTACCCATAGACTTCAATGTTAAAGTCTCCCATAGACCTCAATGTTAAAGTCTCTACCCATAGACTTCAATGTTAAAGTCTCCCCATAGACTTCAATGTTATGGGAGTGGAGGGAAATGGGGACCCCACATAATACAGTACAACATTATATATTCAATATATCTCATCATGTATACCGTGTTCAGCATATGCCCACTAATAAACGATTTAAATCACGATGATCGTGACGTCATCTTAATCATCATCACAATCTGAGTGTTGTTACACAGACAAAGATCCCCCAGGTAGCGCCAGCAGGGCTGTAGGGGCAAGTGCTGTTACACACACACAGACAAAGATCCCCCAGGTAGCCTCTAGCAGGGCTGTAGGGGCAAGTGCTGTTACACACACACAAACAAAGATCCCCCAGGTAGCCTCTAGCAGGGCTGTAGGGGCAAGTGCTGTTACACACACACAGACAAAGATCCCCCAGGTAGCCTCTAGCAGGGCTGTAGGGGCAAGTGCTGTTACACACACACAGACAAAGATCCCCCAGGTAGCCTCTAGCAGGGCTGTAGGGGCAAGTGCTGTTTGCGATTAGCTGCAGCTACCTATAAGGGCTAACTAAGATAAAGATCCCCCGTGTAGCCTTAACAGACTGTAGGGGCAAGTGCTGTTAGCGAGCACCTATGAAGGCCGGAATGGTACACGAGGGGGTGGGTGGCCAGCACCACGCCCGACCGCCTTTGTCTCCCCAGTGGCGATGTTTACACACCGCACCAGGTACTCATTTGAGGCTGAGTCGACCTAGGGGAGGCCCAGGACCGGTTCAAAATAATCGTCACTGGTGTTGGCCGTGAGCGGAAATCGAACCCGGGTCGCCAGGTTTATAGCGCAGCGTAGCGCTAACCACTACACCCACCGCTCCCCGTCATAAGGGGGTGCGGTAGCACAAGGGCTAACAGCCACTGTGTCACACACACAGAGGGGGTGGGTGGCAACCACCAGCACCACGCCCGGCCGCCTTTGTCTCCCTCATCACCGCTGCAACAGGTAACCACTCATTTAAGGCTGAGTCGACCTAGGGGAGGCCCAGTACCGGGCTCGGATTACTCACAGAGACCCACACTCATAGAGACCCACACTCATAGAGACCCACACTCATAGAGACCCACACTCATAGAGACTCACACTAACAGAGACCCTCACTCATAGAGACCCACACTCACAGAGACCCACACTCATAGAGACCCACACTCATAGAGACCCACACTCATAGAGACTCACACTCACAGAGACCCACACTCACAGAGACCCTCACTCACAGAGACCCTCACTCATAAAGACCCATACTCATAGAGACCCACACTCACAGAGACCCACAGAGACCCACACTCATAGAGACCCACACTCATAGAGACCCACACTCACAGAGACCCACACTCATAGAGACCCTCACTCATAGAGACCCACACTCACAGAGACCCACACTCACAGAGACCCACACTCACAGAGACCCACACTCATAGAGACCCACACTCACAGAGACCCACACTCACAGCGACCCACACTCACAGAGACCCTCACTCACAGAGACCCACACTCACAGAGACCCACACTCACAGAGACCCACACTCACAGAGACCCACACTCACAGAGACCCACACTCACAACGACCCACACTCACAGAGACCCTCACTCACAGAGACCCACACACACAGAGACCCACACTCACAGAGACCCACACTCACAGAGACCCACACCCACAGAGACCCACACTCATAGAGACCCACACTCACAGAGACCCACACACACAGAGACCCACACTCACAGAGACCCACACTCATAGAGACCCACACTCATAGAGACCCACACTCACAGAGACCCACACCCACAGAGACCCACACTCATAGAGACCCACACTCATAGAGACCCACACTCATAGAGACCCACACCCACAGAGACCCACACTCATAGAGACCCACACCCATAGAGACCCACACTCACAGAGACCCACACTCACAGAGACCCACACTCATAGAGACCCACACTCATAGAGACCCACACTCACAGAGACCCACACCCATAGAGACCCACACTCACAGAGACCCACACTCACAGAGACCCACACTCACAGAGACCCACACTCATAGAGACCCACACTCACAGAGACCCTCACTCATAGAGACCCACACTCATAGAGACCCACACTCACAGAGACCCACACTCATAGAGACCAACACTCACAGAGACCCAAACCCATAGAGACCCACACTCATAGAGACCCTCACTCACAGAGACCATCACTCACAGAGACCCACACTCACAGAGACCCACACTCATAGAGACCCACACTCACAGAGACCCACACTCACAGAGACCCACACTCACAGAGACCCACACTCACAGAGACCCACACTCACAGAGACCCTCACTCACAGAGACCCACACTCACAGAGACCCACACTCACAGAGACCCACACTCACAGAGACCCACACTCATAGAGACCCACACTCACAGAGACCCACACTCACAGAGACCCTCACTCACAGAGACCCACACTCATAGAGACCCACACTCACAGAGACCCACACTCACAGAGACCCACACTCACAGAGACCCACACTCATAGAGACCCACACTCACAGAGACCCACACTCATAGAGACCCACACTCATAGAGACCCACACTCATAGAGACCCACACTCACAGAGACCCACACTCACAGAGACTCACACTCACAGAGACCCACACTCACAGAGACCCACACTCACAGAGACCCACACTCACAGAGACCCACACTCATAGAAACTCACACTCACAGAGACCCACACTCATAGAGACCCACACCCACAGAGACCCACACTCATAGAGACCCACACTTATAGATACCCACTGTTGTGTATATGCCCCTTTTTCCAAAAATTAATATTAAGAATAATTCTGCCAATAATATATTTTTTTAACAGACACCGAGGCAACCATAAATGGTCATAAACCCGTACCCTATACACACAGAGCGAGAGCGGGGGAAATCACCAATGGGGTTAAATCAATACCCATACAGTACTTCAAAAGGCCCACACACAATACCAGCAGTAGGCGCCACGAGATATATATATAATTATTATTTTTGTAACGGTTCAAAGTTCAAAAATTGGCAACAGGGAAAACAAACAGACGATTTTTTGAGCCATAATAGTTAAACAAAGTAACCAACTTAGCCGCGAAGATTAAGCAAACATTATCTATCGTCACTCTAAACACGTTCCTTCCGAGTGGGCAGGTAGAGGGACTTGGTTGGACAGCGCATTCGTGCACGACAGACAGACAAATAATCCCTGGTGGGCAGCAGTGTGGAACCTGTTGTTCCTCTAGCTGTGTACAAGATCACGTGACTTGAGGTTGCCAGGCAGACAGCCCCCTTCACTATCGGCCCCTCCCATTACCCCCCTCCCTTAGGCCCCTCCCCCCTTAGGCCCCTCCCATTTCCCCCCTCCATTAGGCCCCTCCCCCTTACTTAGGCCCCTCCCATTACCCCCCTCCATTAGGCCCCTCCCCCCTACTTAGGCCCCTCCCATTACCCCCCTCCATTAGGCCCCTCCCCCTTACTTAGGCCCCTCCCATTTCCCCCCTCCATTAGGCCCCTCCCCCTTACTTAGGCCCCTCCCATTACCCCTCTCCATTAGGCCCCTCCCCCCTTAGGCCCCTCCCATTTCCCCCCTCCATTAGGCCCCTCCCCCTTACTTAGGCCCCTCCCATTACCCCCCTCCATTAGGCCCCTCCCCCCTTAGGCCCCTCCCATTTCCCCCCTCCATTAGGCCCCTCCCCCTTACTTAGGCCCCTCCCATTACCCCCCTCCATTAGGCCCCTCCCCCCTACTTAGGCCCCTCCCATTACCCCCCTCCATTCGGCCCCTCCCCCTTACTTAGGCCCCTCCCATTTCCCCCCTCCATTAGGCCCCTCCCCCTTACTTAGGCCCCTCCCATTACCCCCCTCCATTAGGCCCCTCCCCCCTTAGGCCCCTCCCATTTCCCCCCTCCATTAGGCCCCTCCCCCTTACTTAGGCCCCTCCCATTACCCCCCTCCATTAGGCCCCTCCCCCCTTAGGCCCCTCCCATTTCCCCCCTCCATTAGGCCCCTCCCCCTTACTTAGGCCCCTCCCATTACCCCCCTCCATTAGGCCCCTCCCCCTTACTTAGGCCCCTCCCATTACCCCCCTCCATTAGGCCCCTCCCCCCTTAGGCCCCTCCCATTTCCCCCCTCCATTAGGCCCCTCCCCCTTACTTAGGCCCCTCCCATTACCCCCCTCCATTAGGCCCCTCCCCCCTTAGGCCCCTCCCATTTCCCCCCTCCATTAGGCCCCTCCCCCTTACTTAGGCCCCTCCCATTACCCCCCTCCATTAGGCCCCTCCCCCCTACTTAGGCCCCTCCCATTACCCCCCTCCATTCGGCCCCTCCCCCTTACTTAGGCCCCTCCCATTTCCCCCCTCCATTAGGCCCCTCCCCCTTACTTAGGCCCCTCCCATTACCCCCCTCCATTAGGCCCCTCCCCCCTTAGGCCCCTCCCATTTCCCCCCTCCATTAGGCCCCTCCCCCTTACTTAGGCCCCTCCCATTACCCCCCTCCATTAGGCCCCTCCCCCCTTAGGCCCCTCCCATTTCCCCCCTCCATTAGGCCCCTCCCCCTTACTTAGGCCCCTCCCATTACCCCCCTCCATTAGGCCCCTCCCCCCTTAGGCCCCTCCCATTTCCCCCCTCCATTAGGCCCCTCCCCCTTACTTAGGCCCCTCCCATTACCCCCCTCCATTAGGCCCCTCCCCCTTACTTAGGCCCCTCCCATTACCCCCCTCCATTAGGCCCCTCCCCCCTTAGGCCCCTCCCATTTCCCCCCTCCATTAGGCCCCTCCCCCTTACTTAGGCCCCTCCCATTACCCCCCTCCATTAGGCCCCTCCCCCTTACTTAGGCCCCTCCCATTACCCCCCTCCATTAGGCCCCTCCCCCTTACTTAGGCCCCTCCCATTACCCCCCTCCATTAGGCCCCTCCCCCCTTAGGCCCCTCCCATTTCCCCCCTCCATTAGGCCCCTCCCCCTTACTTAGGCCCCTCCCATTACCCCCCTCCATTAGGCCCCTCCCCCCTTAGGCCCCTCCCATTACCCCCCTCCATTAGGCCCCTCCTCCTTACTTAGGCCCCTCCCATTACCCCCTTCCATTAGGCCCCT